TAGTTTAACATGAATCTCCACCACATGTTAAATATTTTTCTAAGTTTAATTTGTTATTAGTTAACTATTTCATCTAAAAAATTAAACTATTAAATGCAGTACAATTATTTATTTTGAAATTAATTCTAAACGTGTCCTTTAACGTACGCATAGTGTTTTAAAAAACGTAATGCGTAGCAATACGTAGAAGCCAAGCTATGGGTTAGGGGAGCTTAGACGAGGCATAGACGTAAAAAAACATAAAAAGATGTTTTCATATTTTAAAATTATTTTAATTTTTAATCAATTGAAAAATCGTTTAATAATTAAAAATAATACGTACCAAACATCTAAAACAAATTTATAGGAAATTTATTCATTTTTCCAAAGTTTTCAATAAAAAGATAATTTCCAAATGTAAATATTAAATAGTAAATAAATAAGAGTTTTTGGGAGATTTCCTTTGTTTTAGACTTCAAGTGACTATTTTGAATTTAGAATCGACGAATTGAAGGAATCAACTTTTAAGTTTTAATTTAAAAGAATTGTAAAATAAAAAAATAAAATTAAAAGATAATTATGCTTGTCTAGGCTTGGTTAACCACACCTAGGCGTGCATTAGCGGCAACGATTGTTGTTGACCGCTCTCGTTGACCGCTAAATAAGGTGCCAAGCCACTTGGCTTGGCATTTCCACTACGCATCGCGCATTGGTGACACTTAGGTGCCACTAATACATGACTTTTAGAACAGTACATACGCGTGGTCATGCTCTTTTTTTTTTTATGAGGAAATTACAAGATTCCTGGTATCTAAAGATGTGAGTGCAAATGTTTTTAAATCAAAAATCAGGTATTAATTTATTAATTCAATTCCAAACCCTAATTCACTTCTCCCCTTTCTTCTCTCCATTCTCTCTACCAACTTTGGCCGCTGCTAAATCTGATTGCCACTTAACTCGTCGCGATGAATGCTGTTGTCACAACGAGTGTCGGTGCCGTGACAAGCGTTGATGACATGGCTGTTGAGCGTCAATCTGAGTGCCGTTGCGAGTCAATATGAGCGTCAAAGTCGCGGCGTTGTCGTGGCTTTGCTATGCGGCGACACACAAGATGGTTCAGTGTGTGGAAGTTTATTGGTGCGGTGTTAGGTGTTTGTTGATTTTTGGAGTGGTAGTGGATGTGGTGGTGATGCCGTGTGAATATTGATATGTCGGTGTCTAAATGGTGTGAATATTAATCTTTTGGTGGTGGTTGTAGTGGTGTGACGTGGTGTGTTCAGATCTGAATGGTGATGGCGGTGATAGTGTTTGGATGGTGGTGCAGTGATATTGTGTGGTTTACGGCGGTGGTCTTGTTGGTGGTTGAGACGTTGGTTATGTATTATTGTGGTTTTTGGTGGTGGCACTTGTGGTGGTTTCTAGTGACGAAGGTGGTGATTATTGGTTGTAGTTGCCTTGATTTTTGTTTTTGTTGGTGTTGGTGTTGGCATCGATAACGAGCTGAGGATGGTTGCAAGTGCCCGTGACGTCATTGACGATGCGATAGTGGTGGTGGTGGTGGTGGTGGTAGTGGTTTGTGACCATTATTTGAGAAGTGTGACCAACTATTTAGTTATCTGTGATCATGTGACCTTGGCGACGGTAACGGGGTGAGGGTGGTCACAAGTGGTCGTGATGGCAGTAGCGATGTGATAGTGTTAATCGCGATGGTCTGTGACCACTATTCGACTTATGTGACCAAATATTTAACTGTCATCAACAAATTTGAAAATATGTGACCTATAAATTTTTAGATTTGTGACTACCACAATAAATTGTGACCTATAAATTTTTAGATGATCTATAAAAAAATTTATTTATGACCTCGAAATAACCTGTGACTAATTAATTTAATGATATGTGACTAGTAAATAAATTGTGATATAAAATTTTGTATCATTGACCTTATTACATTTAATTAATAAAATATTTTTAATTAATAAATAAATACCTGATTTTTGCACTTTTAAACTTAGGATTTGAAAATTGAATTGGTGTAAACAATACACCTAAGTTATGAATTTTTCCCTTTTTTTATTGAATATATATGTGCACAATTTTCCTATATAGCCCATGCGACTTGAGTTCAAATTTTTTATTGCTTTTATACTATGTTGAACCATTCATATTAAATTATTTTTATTATATTTTGCAAAATGAACACCAAATGTTTATTAGGGTTTAGTGCTATGTGATACATGTAGGATTGTGGGATGATGAGTGGACACTCTTCTTGAAAATGCCATGCATATTTATCTAGTTTATTAGGTACATGACTAATTTTTTTGATTGGATTTTTATTTTTATTTTTAATAAATAAATCAAATCGTAGTAGCAAAGTCCAATAGTTATCTTGTCCTTACACATAAATCCAAAGTATACATAAATTATTTGCATTCAATAGAAGTTTAATATTACATAATAACGAGGTCAATAATTACATTACAAACACTATTGAGTTTTTAATTACGGCGTACCAATTGATCATTTCCCTCATCGCTAGCACTATTTTTTTTTTTTTTTTTGTGGGAATTAATATATTTGTACAAATTTATAACGAGTTTTTCCATCTTTCTCCACTCACTTTGATATCATTTTCTCTAAAGGAAAAGATTTTAATAAAGTGGTCCTTGACGATATAGAATTCTCAACTAATAATTCGAGGGATGTGTCTTCGTTTTCTTTTCTTTTTCATTGAGTTTTTATTTTTGATAAAGTTTTTGTTACATGTACAGGGAATTCTTAGCCACACTTTAAAGCCCTTGCATAAAGAAATGGGATAATTGTAGTAAAAGTTTCAAAGTTTTGAAACACTAGCAAACTTTCTCTAAACCTTTGATTTGTCATTACTGTCACCCTAACCTTTCAAACGTTGTATGGTAGACCCTTTTGGACGGTTTTCATTCAAAATTTCGTCAATTGACCAAAAAAATGATTTTGACCACATGTTAACAATTTTAAAGAGGGAGAATGGTAACTTTACATTAAAATCAAAAATCAAGAAATAAAATTGATCTTCTTCTTTCCTAACCCATCCCCTACCCCACTATTATCTGAAAATTCCAAGGGATCAACTCTGAAAGGAGGGCTACATTTGTGGTTTGGTTTTAGTGCTTCAATTTTCCAAATCCGACTGTGGGGTGGGGGCGGATTTGGGGTGGGTTAGGGAAAAAGAAAACCAATTTTATATTTTAATTTTTTTTAATGTAAAGTTACCATTCCGTCCCTTTAAAAATTGTTAAAATGTGGTCAAAATCATTTTTTTAATCAATTGATGAAAATCGTTCAAAAGGGCTTCCCATGCAGCATTTGAAAATATTGAGGTTGACGACTGCAATAAACAAAGGTTTTGGGAAGTCTACTATTATTTCAAAGATTTGGAGCTTCTGCTGCAATTATTCGTAAAGGAATCTTTGAAAAGGACTTTATTGATAATTTCGTATTTTGAATATACAAAATTTCAAATACTCAAATAATATTGATGTAGATGATCCCCACTTCGTACAAACTATATTATTCTATATTCTTCAAGTTTCACTTAAGAAAATGCCCCATACAATTCAAAAAAAAATGTCGAAAGGGCATTATAATTGCTTAGCCATAATTTCGTCAGAAAGGGCATTAGAGCTAGAAAAGTCACCGTAGAGGCAATCAGAGCAACACATATTGTAGGGTACAAGTATTGACAATAACTAAGATTTTCAGGAATTATAATTGTTTTATAGTGTATGATGATACTCTGATTCTTATCCCATAATCAACATAATCACTCCAGTCTACAAGATTCATGGATGTGAAGTTTATGGTTTGATAACATGTCAATTTTATATCACTCATTACTGTTTAACCTACTTTATCAAAAATATCTCATAGGCATGAAAAAAAAAATTGCATGTAAGATTGGAGAAGCATGCATGACTAAACATTTCATGTACTTTTTTCATTAATGGCGTTGAAATTTGTTGGCTTGTGTTTATATGATAGATAGGACATTAATTGATTAAACATTTCTATTGTCTTTAATATTTAATTTCATTCAAATATGTCGTCCTCACACATTAAGCCCCCATTTAGCTCTCATTAAATTAAATTTTATTTTTCTCTATCCTATTTTCAATCACATAATTTTTCATAAAATAATATTACACTTAAATCGAAAACTTTTCTTTCTTTTTCAACCACTCATTTTTAAAAAAAAAATATTATTCCACCCATTTTAATTTGAAAAAATGGAGGGCCAAAATGGTGCTAAATTGAACATTAGGGTATGATAGAGCTCAGTTACCTCGTTCTCATAATTATATACGTTCCGTTTACATGTCAAAGGTAAATGGATAAGTGTCTCACATGTTTCTTTTCTTTGTTTACGATCAACTTTTTTTTTTTTTTAAATTTAATTGAAAGAGAATTATTGAACAAACATCTCATTTACTCATATTTCTTAATCATATTTAGTTCAAGAAGACATATAGAATGTGGCATTTTTGGCAAGTATTCATAAATTGTATAAATTGTAAATAAATAGGAATAAGTTGTGGATAAGTGTGTTATACTTGTGGATCCCAAAAAATGGGTTGACTACAAACATTTTTAATAAATAAAAACGATGGTGACCTTTGGAGATTACATATTGACTTTCATTGATCTCTAATGAACGCCATTAATTAAACAATAAGGTAACAATTTATTTATTCTTCGTGCAATCCTATTTAATATGATGTAACAAATGTGTTCAAGGTATAGTATAATTGCTTAGCAGCAAATTGAGTCAATACATTAAAGAAATTATAGTTTGGAAATAGAAATTTATTTTGACAATGAATAATCATGGGTTAGAGTTCTTCAATTGCCGAGTTTATTAACTTATATTATTGAGGGTTTGTTTGGAAAAGATTTTTTTAAAGATCATTTTCAACCATACATTCAAACGAAAACAATAATATTTAAAATAACATCAAACGTTAATGCAAAGGACATACAAGTTCCGATAAAAGAAGTAATAAAAGCGTGAACCATATTAGTCATGCATTCACTTTTTCTTCATTAGTACATAACATTTACACTTAGTCGTGCATGAAAATAAGCAGAAACAGTATAAAGAGAAGTCAATTTATATTTCATTATCTCAATAGCCTGAGCTTCGAATAAAGCTTCATTGTGGCTTTAAAGAATTACCAAAACAATGTCCATGCGATGCTCAATGAACCCCAGTCTTCATCAAGTGGTCAGTCCCTCTTTTTAACACTATACGCCTCACTTCGTCGGCAAGATCATTGACATGTTCGTCTTCACATCCTGTACAGTAACATTGATTGAGCAGAGTGCAAATAATGAAATACGATAAGCAAAAGTACATAAGTCATGTTTTGGAGTTAGCACCATATAAGATCAGATAGAACGAGACACAATATTTAAGCCATGTTTGAGCCGCATTTTTTCAAAAAAATATATTTTTAATTAGTAATTTGATATCATTTCAATTACATATTCTTCAATAAAATAATATTACACGCAAATCCAAAATTTTTCCTTATTTTTCAACCACACATTCTCTATCAACCTACTTTTTTAAAATGCATTCTTTTATAATAATGTGACTTAAACACACACTTAGCCCTTGTTTGAGCCTCATTTTTCAACCAAAATACATTATTCAACAGTGATTTGACATTATTTCAACAACACACTCTTCAATAAAATAATGTTATTCGCAAATCAAAATTTTTTCCTTATTTTTTAAACACACATTTTCCATCAATACACTATTCAAAAATTCATTTTCTTCACAAAAATGGGGTTCAAACAAGGGCTTAGTCTCTTACTATACAATCTACCTTGTAAAATGAGCCAGGCGTATGGGTACATTGATAGATTGGACAAGACTCAACATGATCACAGACCAGAGATAGGTGATAAATTATACTTAAGTGTTCCAAACGTTGTTCTTAACCTTAAACCCGTTTTGCACTTTTGTCTTCAACTTTTGTCTTTCTAATATTTCCCCAACCTTCCACTCCCAGGCACTTGTCTCGTGGTCGATGCTAATGGGTTCGTCCAAGTATTTGTTAAGTTGCCACGAAAAGACAATTATACCCTTAGATTAAAAATATATACATACAAATAGAAAAAACAGTCATATTTCTTGCCTAGCCCAACCTGCAACCACCCAACAGGTTCCACTCGACCGACCCCACCCCACTCCACCCCAAACCTCATCCTCTCCCCTCCCTTCCCTAGACTAGAAAAGAAAATAAAGGGTTGGGGACAATTCACTTAGTGTAGTCTCTAATACATTCTAATCCAATGTACCAAACATGCTTGTAAATACAGACAAAGAAGGAAATGGGAAGGTAGCTGGCACAAGTTTTGTCATATTCAGAAGAACTTATATGACTTCACCTATTTGAATAAGTGCAGTTTCAAGTTTAAAAAGATAATCTCTGTTTGGTCCTGAGGGGCCTTCTGCGTGAACAATCTGACTACAAAAATCAAGATTAGTAAGATATCAACAAAATGTCCGAATATTACGTTTTACAGAGTTTGCATGGATTTTTCATGATCGATATAGTGCCTAAATGTTGATCTTGACTAATATTCATTTTACGAAAATATGAATCAAAATAAGATTTTTTTCAACCACGATAATGCCTATTTGAAAATGTAATGATAGATAGAATGTTATCTCAAAATATATAGAGAAAAATGTAATATTACTATTTGATGTTCGTTTTGTCCATGACTTAAGAATTAGAGAGGTGAATGAGTGGATGTTTGTCTATGCTTAAAAATATTACATATAAGTGACTTATATGCAAATAAGCAATTTTCAAAATATATTATTTTTCTGTCGTGGAAGTTGGAAATAATTTACTTATTTTGAAAGTAACCCCTACTTTATAGAGTAACTTTTACAACTTTTAAGAAAAAGTGAAGTAATTAAACAAGTTTGTAACGAAAATTTGCTTGAAATTTAGTTTAACTTTCTTTTAAGCTTAGTAGAACATCTTCTAGGATAATTGGAGCTGACATCCAAATTACTTTTGACAGAGGCTTACAGAACATCTTGTACAAAATGCAAAATAAGTCTCAGAGAAATAAAATACATACTTTGCAATTTCTTCAAATGAAGCAGGTCCCAAGTAGTTCTTGTTGAGCTTCTTGTCTGCAGATGCTATGTATCTAAACAATCAAAATATTAAGTTCTGAAATAGCCTATTGTCACAAATATAACATTAAAATGGTTTGTTTGGTAAGACAGACTGCACAATACTCGAAAATATTAGAAAGAGAAGTTTAAAATCTTGATTGTTGTCGTGTGTAGCTTTGTCCAATACTAATGTTCCAAATGTGCTCTAATAGATTGTTTGGTAAGGGGCTGCAATGTACTAGTCAATATTAAAATGGAAAAGAAGTTAATATCTAATGTATTTTATCCTCCAATCAAGTTCTCTATTGACTTGTTCTATGTGGTGGGCTACTGAGTATCAAGTTGTACTAATAAAGAAAAGTTAAAATGGTGCATTATTGTGTACCGAAAATGCTCTAGAGGATTTACGCAATAGTAAGTGGCGGTTTGGGCAACTTACACCAATACATTGGAAACTGCAGGCGTTGTAGCAGTGGGCTTCTGAAATAAAATTTAACATGTACAGGCACAATCAGAATTTGCTCCAACAATTTGATGTTTTAGATAATATCAAATGAAGACATCAACATAATTATTGGATGAACTTTAGACTTACAGTGAAGAAGTCAAGATAAGCCTTCATGTCGTACTGCTTTTCCCTTACTTCTAGATGCTATTCAATGTAGCAGAGAGGCATTTCATTTTGAGAAAGGGAGAAAACAAGGACTAAGCCGAAAACAGGTACTTAATGAACAAGAAAAGACTGATACATGCAATAGAAGTGTAAACAAATCTCTCTCAGTGTCCGATATTTTGGACTATGGGAGCCTAATCATACTCTCCACTTATCCACTCGACTACAATCCGGCCTGTATTCCATACATGTATTAGGTCGCCATGAGATTCCTACATACACAAAGAATTTTAGGAGGCAGCTTTCAGGTGTGGGAGAGGCGTGACGAAACCTAGGACTCTTGCTCTCCATTATAGTGAAAACCAGCAAACATATATCTCACATTGAGGGGGAACCACTAGTGTCCATTCTTTGCTTGTTTTATGATTTCTTTCCATTTAATATCACCCTTCTAAGACGGGAAGAGTTAATCCAAACAAAGATATGAATTAGGAATATTAATGATACAATGGACATGAAAGTGTAATTTTTTTAAGAAAATTACAAACTCTCGGGTATAAGGAACAATCTATAACTGAAACATCAGAATATTATGTCTTATTCTTTGTTTGCTTGACTATTATCTTAAATTAAAATAGCATATATGACTTCTAGGCCCTCTTTTGAAGGTTTTCTTTGTGCTTAGATTTGCTGAGGTTTTCCTTTGAAGCAATCCAATATTTGAAAACTTCTACTGTCACAGTAGCCAGTAAAATCAAAAGCACAGGTGAAGACATATCTTGAAATTTATCATCGAGATCAACTGGAAGGAATTCATTTACCACCAAAAAGAAATAATTTTAATAACTGTTACATAAAAGAGACAGAATCCAACATTTTATATATTTTCTAAAAGTTAAAACCTACCTCCAATGCAGCCTCCTGGTCTTCCTTCCGGATAATCTTGTAGGCAACACCCCACTGATCTTCCATATCAAATATTTGTCAAGTTCATACATTTTATAAGGATTTTAAATACTAAATTCATACTTGGTAGAATTTACATGCACAAAACAACATAGAAAAGAATTAAATAACAAATCATTAATGACGAGAGAGACCAAGCACGCAAAGAAAATGGTACACAGGTTCAACAAGAATGATTTAATGACCCTGTCTCATGATTCAGGGACTTACCAGAACCATATTTTAGAAAATTGTGAAAGTCTGTATTATGACATTATCCATAGAGATTCAGTCTATGTTCAACAATATACACTGCTTAAGATAATGAATGTTTTCCAATTCAAATATCCATCACTGATCCTTGTTTGTAAAACCAGCAATGATACAACTGTTATCATCTAAAGTTAACTCCAATCTAAGTAAAATTTCTTGTGCTTTGACTTCTTATCAAGGATCAACATGTGCGTGTTACATATTACTAGGACAGAGACACATGGTCCAACACAAGTTAATAGTGCTACTAAAAATGACCATGAGACCCCCTCATAAGTACATTTTATGTAAATGACATTCTACCTCAACTTACATATACATACACATCACACATGCATAAAATATGTCCAGAAATTAAAAATCACTGTTGATTAAAATTGTTATGATTAACAATCTTAACTTCAAATTCGAACTCCAACAATCATCATAGGAATTTTCTAACCCATGACTTCAATTCTCATTGATCACAAGCTCGCAATAGCTATTAGCTAATCACAACTCAAAATCCAGTCCCACGCACATAAAATCTCAAAAGTGCTCGATGTTTCTAAATTCAAAATACTCCATGAACATACTTCTCAGAAATCGAACCCCCTCCTTCTGATCCAAGGCGAGAGTTCAACTCTTATGTGCTACTTCAACTTGGTTGTTCAGTAATCTGCATCATCTGGTGTTCTTGTTAGTTGTCCGAATGTCCTTTACTACCATTTGAGTACCAGTTAAACAACAGAGTATGCTAATACCAATTAAAAATTTCAGATTAGCTGTTTCATTATACATACAATTCCATTATATATCCAAGAACGGCCAAATTGATAAATTTCTTCTTATTGTACCATTAATTTAAAATGCAAAAGCCGTTACAGTAACACAAGAAAAGAAGAGAGATAGGTCAAAAAGAACTCACGCAAACCTCCCCCTCAGCAGGCTCCAATGTGACTGTTCTTCCCGGGTACTCTGGAGTCCCTCTGTGATCAGTGCTCCCTAAACTCAAACCCAACAAAAAGTTTAATCATCTCGATCCCCGCAGGCACACACAACGTTAATGGAATCACACTGTCAGCATCAAGAGAAATCCACTCCAGCCCATTGAATATATGATTTATGCTTAAATCTACAAGACCTCTTAACAAGATTAGCCTTTTAAAGATAGAGCCCAAGAATCAACGCAGAGTATCAGAGTCAAAAAAGCTATAAAGAGCAATTCCATCTGTTTGATGACTTGGACTACTCCTAACTCGATAAATTGAACCCAATACTCTATTTTACAAAAAAATTTACTCGAGGAGGGGATTATCTTCTAACCTTGATAGAAAACACGGCGGTAGTCTTTGATGAAACCGACAAGGCGATCATCAAAATGGAAGCCGGCTTTCCAGATCAGAGATCCGTATCCGAAAACCCACATCGCCATTTTCTTTATTTATTACTTACAGATAAAATATCTCACTCTGACGTCAGTTGGCAGCCAAAATCATTGGCCCAGGTGAGATGAAGGGGTGTGGAAATGAGTAGTCGAAAGAGAATGAGCCAGAGGACGTGAGGAACATTTTGGGTTAAGCTGGTACAATATTTCCCCAGTTTTGTAGCTTTCCCCAATCATCAAGTGCCATATCAGACGGCATGTTTTGCTGGGCAGTTCCAATGCTTACCCCCAAAACACAAAAATGCACCCAAAAAAATGGTGTAAAACACCTCTAACATCAAATTTTGTTTTGCACCATTTTGGTATCTAAAGTCATTTTTACCTTTCATTTTCCTTTTTCAAATAAATTGCTTAAGGGTATTTGTATCTTTGTGCTATCTATTTTTAAATACAATAAATTATTATTATTTTTATTATTACTTGCATTTAAAATTTATTTTAAATGCAAGAAATAATAATTAATTAATTAATTAAAAGAAGAAAAAATTTTAAAATATAACAAACACGATTTATTAATGAATTTAATCTTTTTCATAATTTAACATAATAATTTATTTAGTAACTATGTATTTATAAAATAATTAAATAAATAATATTTCAAATAAATATATTATAAAGAACAAAAAAGGGAAAAAAATAGTTAAACACTATTCATTTAGTATAACTTTTGGTGTAATGGTTGGAGATGAATTTTAATTTGCTGAAAGATTTGGTGCAAAATTTGGTGCAGCGCTGAAAATGGTCTAAGCTTGAAAATAATTTGCCCCACATTTTTTAAAAAATACATTCTTAAATAGTGATTTAACATTATTTTAATCACACGTTAGTCAATAAAATAATATTACACACAAATCCAAAACTTTTTCTTATTTTTAATCACACATTTCCTATTAATACACTATTTAAAAATGTATTCTTAAGGAAATAATGTTGCTCAAACAAGGGCTAAATATACTAACTTTAAGTAACCTGTATCTCCAAATAGAATAATGAGGAAATTTCATTGGGTGTCAAAATTTGACTGTGCAATATCAAAAATGTCACATTTTAAAATTTCTATCAAAAATGCCAATTTAGGACATTTTAACCCTCTGAATCATTTGAATACTTTATATATTAATTTTCAAGCAGAGGCTTGCAAATTATCAATTTAGGACATTTTAACCCTCTGAATCATTTGCACAACAGGCCTCCATCTCCAATCACCCAAATCTGATGAAAATTTGGACAACAAATTTATTTATTTTTCGTTTACAGCACCGACATTGTGGCAGAGACTGTATTTGCTGTTGCAATTCAGCAGCTGTGAACATGAAAGCCGCTAACCGCCTTTAACTTTTTTCTTTTTTTTTTTTTTATTTTGATCCGAAATTTATATTCTTTTCAAAATCAGATTTTTAAAATTTAAAATCAAATAACTTCAATTGCTAGAAACATGAAAAATGGAGAATATACATATATCTAATGATTATAATATATAAATTTAATAATTTTAATATATCCAATGATTATAGTATATAAATTTAACTAATCAAATCATGACATTAATTGGATTGGAAAGCTAACATTAAATGCTCCTAAAAAAGGGGACATGAAGAATAAGTTGGATATTTCTCACAAAAAAAAGTGACATTTTTTCTGAAATTAGGTGCACATGCAAATTTTTTATGCATTGTAAAAAAAGTGACATTTTTTATAATTTCCCTAGAATAATTTACTTTTTTTTTAATTTCTATTCTATTTCACTAGAAAAAAAAATTACGCGTAACTTTCGATTAGAAGAGGAAGGGGGAAAAAAAAGGAAAGAAATAACCTTGTAGTGTTTGGCAAAGCTTAACAAGTTTACTAACTACAAAAAAAAATATAGTAAATGATCATGGATAGATTTTTTATTGGTGACATTAGATGGTTATTGTTGATAGTTCTAATAAAAATCACTAATCTTGATTATTATGAATGCACCTCCATCATACATTATCGACAACTATAGATAGTGCAGCGATCACCATCGCTAATGAAGAAACTCTAGTGTTATCAATGTAAATTTATTCTTTTGTTTATTTATTTTTATTTGAATGCAAATACGTAAGACAATGTCAACGATTATCGACAAAGCATCAATTGCCATCGTCGACGAATAAATTTTGGCGTCACGATGAAAGATTGTCCTTTCGTTTGTTTTTCACTTTTTAGTTAAGTTAATGAAATATTTAATTGATATCACCTGTCAAAAAATAATAATAAAATAAAATTTACATATGAAAAAAATATTTCATTGATATCTTTTATTTAAGTTATTAAAAATAGATAAGTACTATGAAAAGAGAGAATAAGAGAATATAAGAGTCAAATTCAAATGTGTATTATTAAGAACTAATATCATATATTTATAGGGTCTAAAATAAGAGTTACAATTTGAATAAAATAGATATTTTAAACTAAATAAGAGTTATTTATATATCATGATAATATCAAATAATCATCAATAATTACCTCATTATTTTACAATAATAAATTATTTTTTCAAAATTTTATTTTATTCCAGATGACTATTACTTTTTATATTTACATTGCTTCTCCTCCGCCCCCACCCTCTCTTCTCTAAATCACTTAAATTTATTAATATAACCGTTTTTTTTTTTAACAATTAAAAACCATTACAAACTCTGTTATTAATATTACTATTTTTTACTCCCAATTTATTTGATTTAAATGAAAAAAACCCCAAAACTACACAAATATCAATTAATTCGACTCGAAAAGCAGTTGATCTTGATCAAATTGATATTGAGAGTTAGATATGACCCTTTGTCCGAAAATCCAATTGAGAGTTGGGCAAGATTGGAGAATCAACATGCACATGAGCACAATGATCGGCATTCGTGAAAAAGAGAGTGAAAGAAACATCAAAAATTAAATTTTTAGGCACCAATATAATAAGAGAAGTAAAATTTAGCTTCATGAATATTTGAGGTCACAAAAGAGTTAATAAAAATTTATAAGTTTCCTAATTTATGACTGATTAGTTTTGCAATTATAATATAATGTTGATACCCAATTTTTATTTTTATTTTTTTAGTTTTCAAAACTTGTTATTTAAAGTTTAAACAACATTATTAATACTGCAAATTTTCCATTTTTATAGTACCATCTTTTGTACACACTTCCACATTTTTGTAACACGTGTAAATTTTCACTTGCTTCAATATTATTGATACTCGACATGTGACTCTTCCTAGGTCCCTTTCATCGAAGACTTCAATTTTTAATTGCCGAAATCTTCCAACAAACTACTTTCATACTTATAAAGCATTACGAGAAATGTCAAGATTTACACCAGCATCAATTTAATGTTTTGCATACCACTTTCCGAGTATTGATTTTTCAATGTTTTTTTGGATGATTTGTGTGTGTGTGTGTGAGAGAGAGAGAGTGTGAGAGAGAGAACAATAAAATTTATTATTTTCCTTTCTTCAGCTCTAACATCAAATCGCTAAAAATAATTTTACTAAGTTAGTAAAATATTGTGAAATATAGGAAATACTCATTCATTATATGTATATATACATTATTCTCTTCTACGAAGCTTTCTCACAAAAGGGGCCTTAGTTCGATTTTTATTTTTTGAGAATAATTTTTCTTCCGTACTTGTTTTCAATCATACAATCTCCCAAAATATTATTTTTCTCATTTCCTCATAACTTTTCTAATTTTTAATCACACATTCATAGAGAAGATATTTTCAAATAATTACTTCTCTAAAAATCTTTATCAAACAAGTGCATAATCATCAAACTAATAAAATTAGACATGCATTCCTAACAAATTTTAAAGTAAATAATGCAAATGGAAGAAAATTATTTAAAATGCTAGATTGCACGTTAATTTACGTAGGACATGTGAATGAAAAAGATTTTAAAAAAATGTTAATTAGATGAAAATGAAATAATAATTGAACTTTAGGAGAATAAAAAAGCTAAAAAAAAAATTGACAAGTGTTACAAAATGTATTATAAATCACGTGATTTGTTATCTTCAATTATGGACATTTTGGTCCATTTAACTATTTTACTGATAAATTAGTAATTTCGAATTTTTTCATATAACATGGATTGAATATGATCCCATATATACTCATTTTAAAGACAAAAATGTTTGACAATTGAAATTAATCGAAAATATTTTTCATCTTTGACATTCCTAAACCCTCAAGAGTTAAGACCATGTTTGACCCCTAATCCTTAAAGAGAAGCATGAATGGATGGTTTGAAAATTTTCTAAAATTAAATCCAACCAAATGCTGTCAACTCACTCTGTCCACACTTTTCGTGTTTTTAGCCCTGTTCAATCATCATTATTATTTTTTAAAACTCATTTTCAATCACATATTTTTATGAGATCCAATACCTTATCAACATTTAACTAAATATTTCATCAAATTTTATCACAATATACGAAAATTTTAATTTTTATCCAAAACAAATAGGAGCTAAATTGTTCATTATAGTTATAATCTACAATGGCAGAAACTTCCAAATCTTCGTCAAACCGCGACACAATCTTCACGAATACAAGTTTCAAATCAAATTGCAAGACACCGCTTTCAATTAAAGTAAAATGTATAAAGACATGTATATCCAAGGTCACACAAGGATACAACACAAGTTTCGGTATGTAGTTTGCGCAGTGGATTTGTAACATTTATCTGTCAAATTTCACTTGCTTCATTAATATCGATACTTGATATATGACTTCTCCAAGATCTTTAATCCCCAAAACCCATTTGATTTCCAATTTACAATGCTAAAATGTCAGTAATATATGACATAATTACTCTGCCTTTATGGGTATAAATACAACATGGGCTAAAAATGTAAAAACAACACGAGCTGGGCTGGGCTAGGCTAGGCTGGGACGGGATGGGACGGGACGATGTTGCTATTTCATGGCTCTTGATTTAAGGAATTATTCTCACGTACATCTGGTTTTACATTGGTATCAGTTGTGACATTGTCAAGAATATTTGATGTTTTCTTGTACACCACTGGCAATTCATCATGGGATTTGTTTTCCTTGTACACTAACTCATCCGAGTTTGAATTCTCTTTGCTCTTACCCCATACAACTGAGTAGAGTCCAAATACAATGATAATTGCTCCTATTAAGCTGCAAGTACAAATATACACACATTTTTAACTACTAATTATCGAACAATTATGTATCAAGAA